CATCCCTGCCCCTTATAAACTCTTATGAAGAGCTGCTGCTGCTGCCGAAATAACCTGCATCTTTAGCTAGTAAGGTTATAATCATGGCAACTTTATCTCACAAGTTAGATATCAAGAACGAGGCAGCTGGCTAATTCTGCTGCACCGAAATTCTTAACAGCAATGACCTTCCAAACATCTGCTTCCGCCTCCGAAGAAACATGACTTTCAGAAGAAGTGCTAGCTCCAAAAAAAGATTCATTTTTTCGCGAGCAAATTTGCTTCTTTAAATCAGCCTGCCATATTGCAGTTCCATTATCAGCATTTTTTGTGATTAAATGAAGCGTGCCTGAAAAACCGGCAAGTAAATTGGGAGAATCTGCATCAGTAAAATTAAGAACTGGAACCTTGTCAAAAACAACTTTCCACGCATCCTCCTGGTGATCATATATCTTTATCTTACCACAATCCAAAGAGCTTGAAGGTTCCAAAGCATATAACTCGCCATTTACCACCACACTCAGTTTCGTTCCAACCTGCCGTGCAGGCCAACCTTCGCCCATACCAGCAGGCATGTCGGCCCACAAATCCGTCTCAGGATCATAGATCTCGCCACCAACATCAACGAAAAAGGGCCAAGAGTACAAACTTTGAGGGACACACAATTTCCCTCTGTATGTAGTCATTCCAGTGGCAATTGGCTTCAGAAGCTCAGCTAGGAAAGCAGTAGGTAAAGTTTGGGCTTTGGAGAAGGGCATTTTTTTTACTTCTGTCCAGAAACCAGTTTTAGGATCATAAACTTCAGCAGATTGAAGCGGAGTCAAACCACCACGGCCTTTACAGACACCACCAACAACATAAAGTTTATCATTCAGGAGACTGGCCTTACAGAAAGCTCTCCCGGTGGTCATGGAACTCACTTCCTCCCACATATTGACAACAGGATCATATCGCCAAACACATTTCATGGCAAAGGCTCGAGAAAAACCACCTAAGACATAGAGGCAGCCATCGACGGTTCCGATGGCGCAGCCACAAAATGGAAGGCGTTCGAAAACATCCTTTCGGCCAAGCCAACCTAGGATAACATCAGCAATTCTAATGCTGGAGTCCATCATATTACACATAAGAAACCCAGAAATCCCCCTCTTGGATTTCTCCTCACAAACCAGATTAGGCATGGGTGGCAGCCTCTGCCATTTTCCAGCAGAGGGGTCCAAAGCATGCCAACAGAGCTTATCCTCTTCAGCCTTCATCAGAATGTAGAGCCATTCTTCTGTTGTTCGGAGCTCTTTTCTGATCTGATAGATTTCAGCACTGGTTATAGCAGCTTTCCAGCTCCGGGAAACCAATTTCATTCCTAAGTAGTAAATCCTGGGAATTCTGGCAAGGATCTGGTGGGAAATCTCATCAGGTAAGCTTGGGATAAGTCTTGGATTCTCATTGCTAAAACTTGATGACAACTTCAGCCTTTTGCTAGAAACTTCAGTCTGAGAAACCTCAGAGCACAATTTCTCTTGAGATTTGGTAACTGGAAAGCTCAAGAAAGACCCCATTAAAATCCTCTAGAACTTTAAAATGTTAGATGATACTTATGCAAACAATTCAAAATTCTTTTTTTCTTATTGCGATTTCTTCCCTGTCACAAGCAAGTGCTTTTTTACCACCACGTGGACAAGCAAAACTCTAAATCTGGCAAAATGAAGCAAAAAGGGTTGAAAGCGAAGAAAAAATTCCAATCAGTAGATATGGCCATTTTACAATAAAAAAATGAAATGATAAAAACTAGAAATTGGAGAATTGGTAGATATCCCACCGCTTACATATCAAACTTTAATAAATTTAGAACATTCCAGCCCCCCAATATAATGAACAGCCATCAAAGAAACAAGAAGAAGAATCACAGATTCGCGTCTTAGTATCAAACGCGCCGGCCAGCAAATAGCCCTCAAAATCATTTGAGATCTACAAAGTAAAGATTCAATTTTTACAAACTCCCACGCAAACTCGATCCAATAAGAAAATATACCAAGTAAACGATTCATAAAGCTAGAAATCCAAACGCAATTGATTCCGGAAAAAAAAACACTTAATATCCAAAACAAAAACCCTACGTAAAAGTAAGATCCATGAAAATTGAAACCCTTCCAAATTCCCCGATTTGCGGCCAAACTATAAGAAGCTGATCTAAAATGTAAATAAGATCAAAGGCTTTACCTTTAATGGACGAGAAGCGCGCCATGGAATCCAGCATAAGAATTTAGGGCTTCGTCACTCTCTCTCTCCTTTTTTCTGCAACGACCCTTTAATTTATCTTTGCAGTTCTCGTAAATAACTCTAAACTCTCAAAATATTAATTTTTTAGTTTATTTGATGATAAGCGTGATGATGACGAGGTGGAGGGGGCTGAGTTGACAGCAACCGCATTGCCAACGACTTCACACAACGTTGGTAACTCGGCATCTTCATTGGGCATCTCGACTTCATATATTATAGCTGTATTTTAGTAGCTGTTTACTTGGAATTGTTAAGATTTGAGAGGAGGAATTTATGAATTATGATTCACGAAATTAATGTGTCAATTTTGTTACCTTCTAAAAGTCCTCCCAATAAAGTAACATTTATTGTTACTGAATTTAAAAAAAAAAGTCATTTTATTAATCGGAACATGCAGCCGTAATAGACGAATGGTATGGGACTCCATTTTCTTAAGGCTTATTATTTGAAGTTGGGATGCTTTAGCAAGTGTTTTTTATTTGGTGGTGTCAATCTCCTAAGATATTTTAATATTAAGGGATCAAATGTTAACTCACAATGTAAGATGCTACAAGCTTACAACAAATGGATAGATATTACTAATAGAGATTAAGGACAAGGGGAGAATTCTTTTTTATGTAAGTAGTGGAAGGGCACATTAAATTTAGTTGGATGGAAGATTAAGAAAGGCTATGATGGGACAAAAAAGTTGTGTCTAAAATGTCAAATAAAGAATTATAATTAAAAAAAATGTAATATTTGTTGTGTACGAGAAGATTCGTGACAATGGAATGATAATTTAACGTCTTAGTATTGTACGTAAATATAACACACATAAATGATTGAAGTAGTAAGAGAAGACACCGAAATTTTTTAGGTGGAAGAACCCGATAAGAGAAAAAACTACGGGGTGTAGCACAATTAAAGTTATTCACTATAAAAATGTAATTATAAGAAAACATCATTGTCCCACAATTGAAAAAAAAAGGGTTACAACACTACACCAAGTACAACACTTGTTAGTGCAAAATGTACATAACACTTCATGAGTCTGGACAAAGTTATTGTATTATGAGAATAACAATTGTGGGTAGTCATCGCCGACAATTTTCGCCAGATAAACAATACGTTGTTATATATTGTATCGTATTTAAGATACTTTGTTATCTTGTATTCAAGTTACTTCGTTGCACAACACTCAAGACATTGTTGCACAATAGAGTTTGTAAATAATAGTAAGCATGGGCGGCCGACGGTGATCGACAATGGTCAATGGCTACGGAGGCGAAAAGTTAATGTTGGGTCATCAATCTAAAACAACATTGCAATTCAAATCTTTCTCCTCCTCCCTCCAGATAAGAAAGAGTTTACTTATAAGTTATAGCAGAGAGATAATTTTAGTCATTCAAAGTATAACTCCTATAATCACCCGATCGAACGACCTACTTTGATTCTCATTATTCATAGAGGTTTTTTTTTTTAAGATTTGAGGGTCTAATAAATGGAACAATTAGTATAGTGGAAATTCAAGTTGTTTTTGGGATCCCAAGTAATATTTGTCTAATAAATTGATCAATTCGTATGAGTTCGATCTCGAGCGTACCTGCAGGTGGATGTGGAAAGTTGCTATTGGGATCACGTGCCACAGATTTAATAACTCTATTGTCATGTGCACTACTCTCCCAGCCAGCAATAACAAAAGTGAAACACATGTTAAATTCACAAATGACATTTTGGGTAGGGCTATCACAACGACCGATAAATGTCACATTATCATTATTTGGGATACGTGCGTCAACATGTGTTCCATCAATCGCGCCAATGCAGTCTTGATGAGTAAATGTTAGGTTTGACATATCATTGCTTACCCTTATAAAGTTAACTATAATGCATTCGAGAGAATACCTTGAAGAAGGGCATATATCGTGCATCACGTGCTATCTCAGCGGGTATCTGCAACTTATAATTTGAGGGTCTGATGACATGAGAGGACAGACTAACAAGTGCGCTCAATTCTATTGAGAAATACCTGCTTATTGTTTTTTATTAGTGTTGAAATCGCTCAATTGCTTATCGCATAGACTCATTTTGGGATAATATGAACAGTGTTATTGCGAGCACCTCACGTAGACTGATCCTCGAAGATCCATGAAGTCCTTGATATGCTACAAGTAAGTCTAGAAGATCGATAAATATTGTCTGACTCATTCGAAACATATTACAAAATCGTGTTGGGTGCCCCACATAAAACTCTCCAACCCATTTGTCACAAATATAAGAAGATGTCATACATGACAACTGATCAATGTACGTGTTATAGTACTCGTACATCAAACATATTGTCGTCAGAAACATCCCTCTCAGCTTTCTTCTGCATGTATCCATGTATGTATCTTCTGCATGTATCCATGTGGGCCTCCATCCGTCTTCTTCTATTTGCATCCATAGTGATGAGTATCCCTAAATATTTTCCCTAAACAGTTTGTGGCAATAATAAAAAAAAGAAATGTTTACAAATAATTAAAAAGGTACAACAAAGTTCACAAACACAACTCTAGAAAGAAAAAAAATAGATAATGCAGTGTAAGTGTTCTAGTGATAAAAAATATAAAAAATATCAATTGTTCAAATGATTATGAAAACGTCGAATATATGACACTCTGTGGGCGGCAGACATCTGTACAAAGAAATCCCTACGGACCGAGTCCTCTAGCAATTCTGCTGCGAACAGATATAACTTTTCATCTGCATAAATTTCGACTGTAGCACTTAGGATTTCAGGTGCTTCTGCGATAGTGCTTGAATGAGAAGTCTGACATTCTGCTTTGAAACAAGAAGCCACCTCAGATAGCTCTTTTTGAGGGAAGAAGCACCAGATTTTCTTTTATCAACATCTCTCAGACGTTTGGAACAAGAAATAATTTCATATGCGTTTTGATCTGGGCTGAGGATGTCAATGAAATCAACTAAACCTCTAGGGGTTCCCAAATTCACGGCATTGCCAGCGAACCCTGTCTTGCTTGAGCTACATGCAAAGTTCCACGTTGCAACCACTCCCCCAAACATGCAGTCTAGTTTCTTCTCTAATTCAGGCTCAATTCTAGAAAGCTTAAACTTTTTTGTAGTATGCACCACCTACACAGAAATTGATAAACACCCAATTAGAATAAAATAGAAAGTTATAAAATAATGGAGTTTATAAACAAAGCTCACTGCAAGGCTTTCAGCCCACCATTCCTCCGGTGCATCAACTGTTCGCTTCACTGGATCCCAACCAAGACCGGTAGAACCTCTATTCAATTCCTTCCAAATTTTTCATTTCTTCTTCATTTGGTCCCACTTTTTCTTCATTTTCAATTTATCGTATTCCCTGCATGTACATTCCTTGAGATTTTTGATAATATTTTGTCACCCTTCTTTATTGAAATGGGTCGTAGGCCTATTTTCCCATTCAATCTCTTTAATACAAAGATCGCAAAATATTATTTTCGTGTCATTTTCCCACAATGCGGGTGTAGCAATCTCTTTGGCTTATTATCCATGTTATTACAATAACAAAACAAAGTCATGAAACACAAGAGCAAAATTAATGTTAGGGATCGATCAGAGAGGCATGCACTGCAAAAATTATTTGAGAATGGTTACAGGATTGGGGAGTTGGAACATATGAGTGAGATGCACAAATTAAAAATACATTTTTGAAAAATGTGAAAGATTCTAGAGAGGCTTGCACTGCAAAATTATTTGAGAAGAGAAAACTCGCAGATTTATTCTTGAATTGGGGCAAAACTGTTAATGAATGGAAATCAGACAAGGGAGTTGGAAGCCTACGGAACAAATCTGTTAAACCTTTTTGTTTAGCTAGAATTTACAGTCAAGCACCTGTTCAGAGTGATGTATTCCAGATTGGAGATCAAATCTCCATTCTACATCCATTTTGCACAACAAAAAATTAAAATAAAATAGCATAAAATAAATGAAAAGCCCCTCTAACGATGGAAATCAAATCTGCATTGTATATCCATTTTGCAGAGCTTACACCCTGTAAGAAAATATGGACGAACATGGATATAAGAAGGCGAGAGGCGAGAAGGGATCGATTACCTTAAGAAAATATGGATGAAATATTTAAGGTAATATTAAATCTACAATGAACTCCTTAAGAAAAAATTTAAGAAAACAAGTGAAGGCGAGAAACAAGTGAAGGCGAGAAAACAAGTGAAGAAAACAAGTCTCTTTTCTCAAATACTGCAGATTTAAGAAAACAAGTGAAGAAAAACAAGTAATCACATTGAACTTCTAGCATTTGTTTTGTGCATACAAAATTTTTGATACATATGCGAGAAAACAAATCCCTTTCATACATATGCGAGAAAACTCCTTACAAAATATTAAACTTCATACAAAATTCAGATAGCAATTAACACAAATGAGAGGAGATCGAGAAAACAAGTGATCACAAAACAAATGAGAGGAGATCACAATGAACTCCATATTTTCATCGATTACCTTAAGAAAACAAGTGAAGGCGAGAAGAGATCGATTACCTGGTCGAAGGCGAGAGGAGAGGGCGCGGTCTTGGTCGAAGGCGAGTGGCGAGAGATCGAAGGCGAGAGGCGAGATGTCGAAGGCGAGAGGCGAGACGATGCGGGAAGAAGAACACTAGGGTAGAGGCGGCAATTTGGAATATTTAGCGGGCGAAAGCTGCGGCCGCGGGGTCGATCCCGCGGCCCGCTTTGACGTCCTTCTGCTGCGAAGCCGAGAGCCAAACAATAACTTTTCGCGATTTGTTGTCGCGCCGCGTGAGAAAAGCCGCCCCAAACAGAGCCTTAATGATATTAGAATTGAGTGATTTTAAGTTTGTTAGATTCCTCTCATCGAAACACTTGATTTGACTATAAGTACGTAAAATTTGAAGTTCATTTGACCCTCCAATTAACTACCCAAAGTCTCAAATATTCAATGGCTCGATACATGCTAGATTGCACTCAAATTGAACCAATTTTGGTATCATTAGGTTCGTCTTGTAAAAACAATCAATTTGACTATAAGCTTGTTGAAATCACTTCTGCATGTTTATTTAATTTAAATCTTTTTTTTTTGCTCAAAAAATATATCGATATTCATGTCTAATGATTAAATTTGAGGATGACGCATCAATATTAATCCTAAGATTTTATATTACCATGCAATGTTATTACATCTTATTTCATGTAGGGCTGTCAATTTGGT